GTACATCTCTGTGTACCGCAGCCTGGCAGGTGTGTGGATCATCTTCGCCCTGGCCTGGTTGGCCGTGATCGTGAACATGGGAACCAGAGTCATGGAGCACGTGTTGGCCCTGAACCGCGGCGTCTTCAAGAAGCAGGAGGAGGAGGACGAGGACGCAGCAGCCCGAAAAGTCGACGACACCTCCAAGATCTGACGGTGGACGACGGACGACGGATGACGGACGACGGACGACGGATGACGGACGACGGACGCAGTCTGGATACATGTGATAAACGTGTGTTTGTGTGGGTTTCTGTTTGTCAACGTAGTCTGTAAAGAAAATACACCATTGTTTAACGTTACTCACATTTTCACTTAGATACGATAAGACTCGCCATTTTCTTTTCTTTTTTTTTTTTTTTACAAAAATGAGCTCTTGAGACCAAATCCACTGATCTCCTCAGAACTGGGTCAAATCCCATCACCAACTGACATGGTCTGTGAACCTCACCAACGGACATTGTTGTCTTCAATAACAGACCATCTCCATTGATCTGCTCTGGTCAAACTGGTCAAACTGGTCTGGTCTGGTTGACCTGGTTAACTGTTAATATATGAAACAACAGGAAGTGGAAAGAGTTCCACTGGAGAACACTGTTGGTGTCTGTGGAACACGTTCTTCCCACGTTCTGTTCCAACACCTGAACATCTCTCAGCCTATGTAGGACCTGATGACTGGGTTTGATAGTGGGTTTTTAGGATATAAATACTGCCACCTACTGGACTGGAGGGTGTAGTGTCATGGTCTGACCAGTGACTTTTTCCGATGACTCAGTCGACTCCTCACACTTTGAAGAGCGATTGGTTTTTTATTTCAACCAATGAGAATTGTCAGGGATTTGTATTGATTTTTAATCAATTCTCGATCCATCGTTTCGTCCCTAACACACACTTTTGACAAAGTCAGGAAACCTTGATACGTGCGAAACTCCAAATGAACTTTTCTGTGTTTTTGTTGCTTTAACGTCTTTATGTTGTTCTTCACGTAGCACTAGCACGGTAGAACTCCACCTTCAAGTTTCTTCTTTGAGCAGCTCCACTCACTGTACGTCAGCCGTGTACTAACTCAAGGTCTGCGGGCCAAATGGGGACGGCCAAGTCATTCTGTGTTTTACTTCTTTACTGAAGTCCTGCGGAGTTTTTAACCTGGTTGATGAAATTGTTGTTTTTTTAATTACACAGAGCAAAGTGCAATAACTGGAACTTGAATAAATGATAATCGGTGGCAGAAAATTGTATGTTGTGGAGTTGTTGCACCTATACAACCCCCCCCCCCACTACAGTACAGTTACTACAGTCGGTGATCACTGCAGGTCAAGTCGAGGTGTGATTTATCTCCAGTGACGTTTGTCCAGTTGGATGTTGCAGTGAGTTGAGCTCAGACGCTCCGTCCATCGGAGGAGCTGCTCCCAGAACAGCCCGAGGACGGAGGTCCACGAAGACTTTCACACCACAGTCCAAAACCGCCCGAGCCACGGTCCACCCTCTGCTGGAGTCCCCCCCGTGTCTGATCATCTGCCCCAGATTTGCATGATGGCCCAGGGTAGGTTTTGAAACGGTGCTGCAGGTGGAGGTTGATTTGCCTATAATACCCAGAGACGAGACGAGGATCGAGAGGAAAAACAACTCCGTGCTGTGGACGTCTGCGCCGACCGAAGCTCTGAGTCCATCTGGGTTTTTGAAGATCTGTGTGAGGAAGAACCGAGATGAAAATAAAGGAGATGTTAAATCTGGCCCATGTGCCGTCCATCCTGATGCTGGGGGCTGTTTATGTGGCCTACGTCCTAATCGGTGGGGTGGTTTTCTGGAGGTTGGAAGGTGATCTGGTGAATCAGAAGATCAGTCGTGTACTGCAGAGAAAAAACAACCTGTTAATGGAGTACACCTGTCTGGACCAGGAGGGACTGGAGGTGGTGGCTCAGGTGAGGATCACCTCATATATCTGTATATATTTATATATTTACAGCAGAACACGTCAACATTCATTATAGAAATACACGTCCATTCAAATTCAAACTCTAAACTATGTAAATATGTGTTCATTCTTTTTATAAACCATTTCTTCGACAGACACTGAGGAACTCAACGCTTGTTGTTTTTGTTGTCACCGTCATCCTATGGTTTAAACAGTCACGTCTGAGTCGTTGCTGGGAGTTGACGGTTAAAAACCACGTCATCTTCTATGTAAATACCTGAACACTTTGCCTGTGGCTCTGATTTAAACTGCAGACCATTGTTTCCGTGGAGACAAAAAAAAACCATCCCATAAAAGTCAGATACCTGCTGCAGTACAGAGTACTCCATTACCTTTGGTGGTGATGTTTGGTATTGCGCATCATATGTAATTAATTTATTACCTTCTTTTGAAAATTGAAAGTTTCTTTTTTGGGGGGGTCTTCAGTGATGTTGGTATCTACTCATGCAGACTAACGTAAAATTAACAATTGAAAAATCTTTATTCTTTCTGAGCGGCCTGATACCAAGTGAACAATGGACCAGCACCGGCCCCTGCCCCGGTGGTTGGTTGTGTAGTCTTAGTTCATTTATTGTGTAAACAGACATGGATGAACTTATTATGATTATAATAATTTCTCTGTTACAGTATTCCTTCAAAAATTACTATATAAATATTTCATTATTTATAGTGATTTTGTGTAATATCAAATACAGCCTTATATACACGGAACCATTTCCTACATCGAAAAAACACCGCGGAGAAACTCCTAAACGTTTATTCTCCAAGGACAGTATCTACGATATGTCCTTAAAAATCGGAGGAGTCGTGTTAGCAGAGGATGGTTTCGATCCATCGACCTCTGGGTTATGGGCCCAGCACGCTTCCGCTGCGCCACTCTGCTGTTTGAGTTAGATGGAACTTATGTCAGAAAAACATCTAAAAAGTACAGTGTGAATTCCATCACTGTTGTCTCGTCAGTAACGGGTCTCTGTCGTCAGGTCGTCCATGACGCCTCGAAGGTCGGTCTGAGTCTGAAAGGTAACTACACCTCGAACGGCTTCTGGAAGTTTACCAGCTCGGCTGTGTTCGCTGCCACTGTGGTCACAACCATAGGTAAGACTGGAAGATTAAAAACACCGTTCCATACCAGTTAGTTCTAACCGTCGGCTAATTTAAAACAGTAGCATTAGCAGTGTTAGCATGCCTCTTAATTCTTATGTATATGTTTTATTCGTTCATGGTTTTTTATAAATGTCATGTAATGGCCGCATTCAAAACTTTATTCTTGTTATTATTCAAAAGTAATTCTTACACAAAAACACAAACAGCCTACTGCCAAAAACGCAAATTTTGCATTTGATTTTGCACCAAACGTATAAACAAATTAATTTATCATATCTACGCGTTTACACGCGTTGGCTGTTGACTGTTACAACATTATGGCAACTGTGACCTCTAGTGGCGGAGGTGCAGAGCTGCGCACATGAAACGGCGCTCTCTCCGTCACCGTGTGACTCGGTTTCCTTAGTTTGACAAATGAATCCACCGTAATCCATCGGATTCAACGACGCTGATTGGACAACAGTCTGTTGCTATGCGCATGTCTGCTGCAGTGACTGAGCGCTGAAGCTCCGAAGGAGTTAGGAGTGAGATGAGTCGAAATCTATTTCCCCAAAATACGATGTGTATTTTTAAACTTGCTCATATTTAAAATAATAGATTATTGTTTGTTTAAAAAAAAGTTATTTAAAAAATCCAAAGTACCATGAAGATGTTGACGGCGCTCATTATGGGCCAGCCGTTATGGTTAGCATGTTAGCATTTATATGTACTGTTCCCACCTTTGTAGTAGTGTGTTACACGGATCGATATGTAGGTTTGGGGATGAGTTTGTCCACGAAACTACTGGAAATATTTTATATCTTATTTTTATTTATATTTTTAAAATTATACATTATTTTCAAACCTGTATCAAGTTTTCAGGAGCTGGGCTTCATATGTCGTCAGTTGTTTTAATTGGTTATTGATATGTTTAGATAACCCGAACCTCAAAGGTCTGATTCCCGCTCTGTGAGGCACAGTAGCATGCTAACGCTAGCCTTCACTTGTACAGGTTACGGCAACATGAGTCCCAGCTCCATGGCCGGACAGATTTTCTGCGTGTTCTTCGCTCTGTTTGGGATCCCGCTCAACCTGGTGGTGCTCAACAGAGTGGGGAAGTACATGCTCGTCATAGAGAGGAACGTCTGTGAGTTCCTGGTGGAGAAGACTGGAAGAAAGGTGAGTTGCTGCTGCTCTAAGAAAATACTGGTGCGCTGAAATATGGCGGTATTTCGTTTCTCGATACCGTATCAAGATTTTACAGCACCGTGTGGATTGTTTTACTAACAATTAACCGTCAAATATTCATGCCGTTGGTTAAATACATCGTTGTCCCTATAATATCGCAGTATATTGCAATATATAGTATCACGCACAAGACAATATATTGTGTTGTTGTGCCCCTGTATCGCGATACGTATCGTGTACCCAGATTCTTACCGATACACACCCCTACTCTTTAACTAGCTGCCTCCTAATAAGTAATAATTTTAACAGTTTCTGCGTCTCCTCAGCAGTCTCTTGTGATGTCACTGTGACATTTCCTTAATTGCGCTTTTATGAAGGTGCAGAAAACGGACGATGGACCAGGTTTTGGGGACATTTTTGCTGTACCTGTCCAGATATAAAACTACACCTGGTTTGTGCCGGTTTTCCACTTCTAACCAGACCAAACCGGTTTTCCTTTGTCCTACAGAAGTGCACCCGCTTCTTTGTCCACCTGGTGTCGTACCTGTGCGGCGCGGTCCTCTTCTTCATCGTACCCATGCTGGTGTTTCAAATGCAGGAAGGCTGGATATACTCCCAGGCGCTCTACTTCTGCTTCATCACCCTCAGCACCGTCGGCTTCGGAGACTTTGTGGCAGGTGCAGCACAGCGACACCTACATGTGAGGCTGCACTAGAGCAGCGTGTGTTTTTATGCCGATGACTCAGTTGTGTACCTCCTCTCACAGACAGCGACCCTGACAAGTACTACCCAGATTGGTACAGCGTCCTCATTGCCTCGTGGATTTTCTTTGGACTGGCCTGGCTGGCACTGGTCATCAACCACACCATGGACGTCCTGGAGAAGCTCAACGCTGACGTCAAACTGAGGTGGGGCGGTCAGCGGCAGGAGGACGAGTCGTCCGTCGTCACGGAGCGCGAGGTTCCCAACACGCAGCAGGAGGAGGAGGGAGAGGAGACGAAGTAGTAATCTACGGAGTAACTGAGTAATTTTTTTTTGTGTGAGTCTGTGGCAGTGGGTCCAGTCTCGTCTCAGACCCCACCCCCCCG